GGATAGGGTAATGATGACATAATGGCTTCCCAAGAACTGTAACATGGCATGTTGAACCTGGATGTTCCTGACAATTATCTCCAATCTGATCTTGAAAGTAGAGATCAAAGCGCTAACTAACAGCAGTGAATCACGGGGAGTATTTTTTGAGAGAGGATGGAGTTGATTCTCGCAATGGGCTCTATATGTTTGCTCGAGCATGTTAACTGGACTGAGATACAAGTGCTTTCTGTTTGGAAAATGTCTAAGGAATTGATGAGGTTCCAGTACACCAGGCCATTGGTTGCTTTTCTTGTCGCAGGGTGTCAGCCTTATCCCTCAACTCTCCTGTAGTTCTTCATCTCCATTGTCTTCACTCACATCTTCCAATGGCCTTGCTGCTTACAACTTTTGTACTTTTCTCTAACCATCCCACACAATTCACACCTTTCATTCTTATAATCATGTTCTGCTGGATACCTCTTCCCTCCCCATCACCCACTCTGTCCCATAAATAGTGCAAGAACCCTCATCTGTTTGCCCACACTGACCTCAACTATCCTCCTCTTTGGCCACAATTCCTTTTAGCCTCCATCTCGGACAACCTCCGCAACATTTACTTCTTTGTTTGTGATCCTGGACAACTCAGCACATTTCTCCCTTGCTCCTGGTCTCCGCCCTGCCCTTTCTCCAAATATTTTGTCATGTGTGCAGGGCTGTGTCAATATATGTTCTTTTGTCTAGGTTGCAAGGAACGGCCAAGATCACCCGAAGTATAATGTAAGCTCAAGAATGTGCAGCTAATGTTGGTGATAAGAAGCTGTCATTCTCTTCAGTACTTGGATAAACGGATGCATTGCTAAAACTCACAATTGCTTCCATTTTAGTCAAGGAATATGCTCTGGTATAGTTCAGTTTGCTGTGATGCAGCAGGACATGTCAGAAGATTAGTGCAGTACCCTTTAGGATTAACAGTGAGAATCACAGTATTAGTGGGCTTTGTGCAGTATTAGCAGAATAAGTCCCAGCACTATTGTGGATTGCTGTAGTATTCGAGGGGAGTTGACGTTGAAGCTTTCTGCCCATCATCTTGTTGGCACTAACCCTTCACATATACAATTAATTCTAATCACATTTGGCCATTCTGTTCGTGGATTCCTTCAACCCCTTCTCTTTCATGCACTTATCCCTTGCGATCTTATCCCTTGCGATCTTATCCCTTGCGATCTTGAATGTTAAATATAGTTTAGATCTCAGCCACTAACCCTGGGGGAGACTTCCACAGTCTCACAACTCTTTGTCAAAATACTTAGTCATGCTGGCTATAAAAACAGGGATCTTCTGTTACAGTTGGACAGGGTATTGGTGAGACTGCACCTGGATTGCTGTGTACAGTTTTCGTCTCCTTATTTAAGAAAGTACATAACTACATTAGAAGAACAGTTCAAACAAGGTTCATTTGATTGATTTTCTGGATGAAGGCTTTGTTTTATGATGATAGATTGGACAGGTTGGTCCTGTATACTTTAGAGCTGAGAGGAATTGGAATGATCTTTTCGAAAATTATAAGGCCCTGAGAGGTCTTGACTAAGGAGATGCTGAGAAGGTATCTCCCCTCGTGGGAGAGATGAGAACCAGGAGATGCATGTTAAAAGTAAGGTTTCCTCTATTAAGGTGAGGACTAAGTTTCTTTCTTCCAGATTCAAGAGTCTTTGGAACTTTCTTCTCCAGAGAGCAGTGGAGCCTGGGCCAATAAATATTTTTAAGGCAGAGGTTCTTGACTAACAAAGGAGTTAAAGGGTGTGAAGGCGAGCAGGAGAATGGAGTTGAGATGAACTATGTTGAGTTTAGATGAACTATGATCTATTGAAAGGTGAAGCAGGCATGAAGGGTAGACTGGCCTACCCCTCCCTGCTCCTAAATCTATGCTCCTCTGTACGTAGTGGTTATTGAATAGATCAGCAACATAGACCCTGTGACAAATTGTGAAACTGAAATTAACAAATTTAATAATACTCTGGGCTGGCAACAAATGAATTGAGTATTAAAGCTGTGGGATTTTTGTTGAAAGCCCAACTGATACATAAATTGCAACCCTTACCAAGTCTAGCTGAGGTGTGCAGTTGACTCTTAAATCCTACAGGACAACTGGATGGACAATAACCTCAGTTTTTCCACCGTTTTCCACATCCTGAGAAGAATTATGTTCAGTCCCTCCTGTCTGCTGTTCTAAATCTTCTCTAACCTTGTCCTTTCGCTCCTCAACTGAAACATTTCCATGTGTTACATAAAGTACCACAATATTAGTGGACCTTTCAATGAGATTTGCTACAGCATTAGTTGGGTTTGTCGCTACATGGTATTAAGCCTTGCCTCAGTATCAGAGTTTGTCATTGCGTTAGCAAATTTTTCAGGCTATGTCACAGACTTGGTGGATTTGTCGCAATATCAGAGTTTATCAAGAGTTGAAGTTTGCAATGCTATTATTGGGTTTTGCTGCAATATTGGCCAGGCAAGTTATTATGTGCATTATAGTGGGGTGCCCTGTCTGTGTAGAATGCAGTTTCATTGTACATTTTCTCACACATATCACAATCTAGATAAGAAAATGGCTTTGAAACGAACAGTTGAAATGTCTTCACGAGATGCTATTTCACCCAACCTGGCAGAGCGATGATTTATTGGAATCTGAGACATTTTTGTTTCTTTTGTCATTTGTCTGCTTCATATCCACCCTTGTACATCGTTATTTTAAAACCTTCAGTGTTTCAGCAGGTTTCACATCACACAAAGGGCAGTGTAAATCTGCAGTTCTCTTCCTCCTCCAAGCTGTTGAGGATGAATTGAAAATCTGAGATTGATAGATTTTTAAAAACCAAACGAGCTGTGGATGCTGTAAATCAGGAACAAAAACAAAGTTGCTGGAAAAGCTCAGCAGGTCTGACAGCATCTGTGAAGGAGAAAACAAAGTTAACGTTTCGGGTCCGGTGACCCATCAGTTCTGAGGAAGGGTCACCGGACCCGAAACGTTAACTCTGTTTTCTCCTTCATTGATAGATTTTTGTTGGGCAAGGAGATCATGGAACCAAGGCAGAAGTAGATGAGTTAAGACACAGATCAGGCATGAGTGAATTGAAATGTACAACAGGCTTGAGACGCTGAATGGCCTGCTCAAGTTCCTAAGTTCTCCATGTCTTGCTCTGCTAACAAGGTTAACAATTTCTATACAAAAGCTCCCATCTGTAACCAACTGGATCAAGAAAGAACATATGTTTATATCATGCCTTTCATGTGATCAAGATTTTCAAAGCTTTTTCTCTTCCAATGAAAAGCTTTCAATATGAAGCTATTGTAATGGAGGGAAACCTGACAACCAGTTTGTGCACAGCAAGATCCCACAAAAAAGTATTCTGTTAACCAACCATATAATCTGTTTATTTTAGCAGTGTTGCTATGAACTTTAGGCTCAGAAACGGAGAGAATTGCCTAAGGGAATGGACTGAAATCCAATTTTATATTTTGTTTGAAAGGCAGACTTGCTCCTTTAGTACTTTGCTGAATCATAACTGATTCTCCATGACCGTAAAGTCATCATCCTGTTAGCAGTTGCTAAATATCTGGGTTCAGAAAAGGCCATTTCACTCATCCAGACCCATCTGTCGATATGTGAAACTGCCCTCAAATCCCAACTCTTGTGTTCACCAACCCACCTTTTGAGTATACACACTGATGGAAGCCCATCCCTGAAGTACGTTAACACACCGATCGAAACCCTGTCCACTTGTATAATAATCCCTCCATCAAAACTCTGAATGCTAATATTACCTCCATGGAGACCCAGTCCACTTGTATAATAATCTCTCTATCAAACAGAGCCCACTAACATAATAATCCCTCCACCGATACCCAACCCACTAGTATAATATTCCTTCCCTTGAAACCCTGTATACCAGTATAATTATACCTCCATTGAAACCCAGTTTACGAGTATAATATCTCCATCAAAACCAATTCATATAGTCATAGACTTATAGATATGTACAACATGGAAGCAGATCCTTCGGCCCAACTCGTCCATGCCAACCAGATATCCTAAATTAATCTAGTCCCATTTGCCAGCGTTTGGCCCATATCCCTCTAAACCCTTCCTATTCATATACCCATCCAGATACTTTTTAAATGTCGTAATTGTACCAGCCTCCACCACACCCTCTGGCAGCTCATTCCATACACACACCACCCTCTGCGTGAAAAAATTGCCCCTTAGGTCTCTTTTAAATTTTTCCCCTCTCACCTTAAACCTATGCCCCCTAGTTTTGGACTCCCCCTACCCTGGGGAAAAGACCTTGGCTATTTACTCTATCCATGCCCCTCACGATTTCATAAACCTCTATAAGGTCACCCCTCAGCCTCTGACGCTCCAGGGAAAATAGTCCCAGCTTATTCAGCCTCTCCCTATAGCTCAAACTCTCCAACCCTGGCAACATCCTTGTAAATCCTTTCTGAACCCATTCAAGTTTAACAACATCTTTCCTACAGCAGGGAGACCAGAATTGAATGCAGTATTCCAAAAGTAGCTTAACCAATGCCCTCAAAATCTCTAAATCTCTCCTTGAAGTCTATCTTTTTAAGTAAAGACTATTACCATTGAAGCTCAACCCTGCAGTATATTAATTTGTCCATTGAAACCTAGCATGTAATCGTTCCATCGTAGCATTTCTCTTTAAATCATCCAAATCATTTTACCTTTAATACTTTGCCTGGCTGCTTATGGCACACATTTATCGTGAAGTGATTTTAGCAAGAAACACTTGAACAAACAGTGCCACTTTATCACAGGGGAGGTTTTGTGGAAGGTTAAAGCAATAAAACATATTTGGAGCAGTATCAGTAAAACACGCAGACACACAACTTTGAGTGCAGTGTTGTCGGGTTTTAGAAACGCGATGTGTCTCCTGGACAGATGCTACTCTTTAATACCACCTGCCCATTCCCAACTGTGTCGGACCCCCCGATCCTACCTGGAAGCCCCAGGACGGTGTAGAAGGGGCGACATTCCGTGTAGCCGGATGTCTGCTGCATGCACGTTTTCCACAGACCCATGTATTTGTAAATCGAGGTCACCAGATCCTGGCCCAAGTCCTGTGTGCTCCACATGTTCAACGCAGTGGCAACGATGGTCCCGGCAAAGCCTAGGGCTGAGATGCCAAAGCCCAGACACTGGCACATTGTGGTAGCCATGATTTGTACAGAGAGTTTCTCAGCAGCAAGCAAGCACTCCACGTCTGAGCAGTGGGTCCACTGTCAACCGAATGACCTGGTTCCCTGCGTTGCCTATAGACGTAATGTGTGAGACTGTGAAACCTGTTAACATCGAATCAATGAGTCACCTGTTTGCTTAAATTGTTTTCATTAGATATAGGGTGAAACTTAGACCAAGTCTTCAGATCTCTGAAATATTTCTTTTGTTTCTGGGAAAATTCAGCAACTTCCGTCTCTTACTCACCTAATGTATTTTGCCTCTGACAGACAAAGCTGTGCTAGATTATCAGAAAAATTATGTGTCAGTTTGGCTGACCCTGCCCTCTGAGCCAGGTATTTCTGGGTTCAAGTCCTGTTCTAGGGGCCTCAGTCAGAAATCCAGGTTCCAATGCCGTAGGAAGGGAATACTGCTCTGCTGCAGGAACTGTATTTTGAATGAAATCCTAAACCAAGACACCAGCTCAGCCCTCAGATAGATGACCGTGTTATCTGTGGTTCTGCAATAGCACCAACATTTATCTCAGAACCACTTGTCCAATTAGTATTCAGATGTTGTCCATTTAAGACAAGAATGAGCAAACCTTTTTCCCTCAGAGAGTCATGAGTCTTTAGAACCCTCTTCCTTAAATGGTGGTGGAAGCAGAAAGTCTTTGAATACTTTTAAGACAGAGATTCTTGTTCAGCAAGGTTACTGAGTGTAGGTAAGAACATGGAGATGAGATTGCAATTAGATGAGCCATGATTTTGCTACTAACTTTAATGTTCATATGTAAATTTGACAATCTGACCATTTAGTTCATTTCCACTGTTGGACCTTGCAATTTACAAAGTAGCTGCTGTGTATGACTGCAGTGCAACGATACAGAGCTGCTTTATTGGGTGTGAAGCACTTTTGAACATCTTAAGAACAGGGAACTTGTTTTACATCCAAAGTTCTCCCTCTCTGCCATAGCTTTCCTTGTGTTTTTGATTTATCTGTGGTGTTTTGGTACCTTTCTGAACTTCCTTGTGTTGTGCTGTCTTATACATTTCCCCTTCTTTCATGGTTCACATTGAGGGGAACAATCTGACTCAGTGCATTTTCACCTCTAAATCTAAAGGTTATGGGATGAAGGGATGGCTTTGGGATTTTAATACATTATCCTGGCACTTGCATGCTGTACTGAGGGAGTGCTGTATTGTTGGAGATACTGTCTCCAAGGCTCCTGTGCCTATCTACATGGAGGTGAGAGGTCCATCGTCTTGAGACAACTGCAAAGGAGCAGCTGGGGAGAGATCTCAGTTCAAGACAAAAGAGGAAAATGATAAACCAAGAAGTAAGGATCTTGTTTTTGTTTGCAAATTTGTTATTTTTCTGTGTAATAGAGAATTTTGGCTTTCTATCTGAAGCAAGATTGGTGGTGAAGAGTGAAACCAGAGACCATCCTTTTAAGATAGTCATCAAAAAGATCAAAAAAGGAGTTAGTACAAAGAACATAGAACAGTACTGCACAGTACTGGCCCTTTGGCCCACGATGTTGTGCCGACCTATTATCCTACTAAAATCAAACTACCCTGCATACGCTATATTTTACTATCATCCATGTGCCTATCCAAGAGTCGCTTAAATGTCCCTAATGTATCTGACTCCACCACCACTGCTGGCAGCGCATTCCACACACCCACCATTCTCTGTAAAGAACCTACCTCTGACATCTCCCCTATACCTTCCTCTAATCACCTTAAAATTATGCCCCCTCGTAATAGTCATTTCTGCCCTGGGAAAAAGTCTGTAGCTATCCATTCTACCTATGTCTCTAATCACCTTGTACACCTCTATCAAGTCGCCTCTCATCCTTCTTCGCTCCAATGAGAAAAGCCCTAGCTCCCTCAACCTTTCCTCATAAGACCTGTCCTCCAGTCCAGGCAGCATCCTGGTAAATCTCCTCTGCACCGTCTCTAAAGCTTCCACCTCTTTCCTATAATGAGGCGACCAGAACTGAACACAATATTTCAAGTGTGGTCTAACCAGAGTTTTATAGAGCTGCAGCATAACCGCACAGCTCTTAAACTCAATTCCCTTGCTGATGAAAGCCAACACACCATACGCCTTCTTTACAACCCTATCAACTTGGGTAGCAACGTTGAGGGACCTATGGACATGGACCTCAAGGAAGAAGAAATGTTTTACCCATGGAGTAGTGAAAATGTGGGACACATGCACTAATGTAGAAGTATTTAGGAAGAAACTAGGAAAGCAGATGATAAGGGAATGGAAGTCAATTGTGACGGAGTTAGATAGAATCATAGAATCCTTACAACATTGAAGTAGGTTATTCGGCCCATCGAGTCCACACCGACCCTCCAAACAGCAGCCCACCCAGACTTATCCCCTTCTCCCCACCTATCCCTGTAACCCTGCATTTCCCATGGCTAATCCACCTAGCCTGCAAATCCCTGGACTCTATGGCCAATTCAGCATGGCCAATCCACCTAACCTGCTCATCTTTGGACTGTGGAAAGAAACCGGAGCATCCAACAGAAACCCATGCGGATATGAGGAGATTGTGCAAACTCCACAAAGACAGTTGCCCAAGGGTGGTATCGAACCTAAATTCCTGGCGTTGTGAAGCAACAGTGGTAACCATTGAGCCAACGTGATGAAGGATAAGAGGATACACAAATAAAATATGAACATTGGCATGTGAACTTTGGCCTGAGGGACTTGTTTCTGCACTGTGTACCTCATACAATTCTATGTGATCTCACTGTAGCCAATATTCTAACTCTCATTCTAACCAATCATCTCCTTCAGTCTGGTCAGCTCCTAATATTCTGTTAGCTTGCTGTGCCCAGTCATCTCAGTGCAGCCATATCATGGAGTTTGTGGACCATTGATCTCTGTCACCTCTTTATCTCTAGCCATTTCATTGCATCCAGTCACAAAACTGAATAATAAATAGTCAGCACAGACTTTGAAAGGTAAAGTCAGTTAGGCCAACCTCGTATTAGATGAACAGGTAACAAGGTGAACAGATGGAGTGAATGCAGTATGCACTGTAAGTACATTTCCAAGGTGTGACACAATAGACTACTGAATACGATCAGAGTGCTTGGAGTCAGGGAACAGTATCTTCTCAGTCAATTAAGCATCGGTAGTAAGTGCTGGCTTTACCAGTGATGCTCACTGTCCGTGAATGAACAACAAAAAGGACAGTTAAACTTAAAGCTTAAAGTATAGCTAATGGGTAGGTATTCAGAAAGGCAGAATGTAAGAATTTATTCTGGCTGTCCCACTGTATCCAGCCACTATCTCACTGTCTCCGGGTGTCTCAGGCAGCCTCGCTGTGAGCAGCCAGCCCAGTGTTAGTCTCCTTGTCGTTGTAGCTAGCCATCCTGTTATCTTCAGCCATTGCTTTGTGCCCAGCCATCTCATTGTACTCGGTTATTTACTGGCCCCCAGACAATTTTAATTTGCCCACTGCTTCCCTCACTGACTGTGGCCATCTGACAATGTCCACTGATGGTTGGGCATTGTCAGGGAGAGAGGTCCATGAGCTTCTCACACCTTCCAAGCGAGTGGGCGTTAGATGCTGGACTCTTCCGTCTTCTCTTGCAGGCAGGTGGGCATGTTTTACGTTCTTTCCCTCTGCCTGTGATATATCTATGTTCAGTGAGTGGCCACACTTAATCTAATGCTCATTGATGTAACAACCAGCACAACACATGGGGGCTGCGGTGGTTCAAGAAGGCAGCTCACCACCACCTTCCGCAGGGCAACTACGGGCGGGCAATAAATTCTGGATCAGCCAATGATGCCCACGTCTCATGAGTGAGAGTTAGTGAGGCCTCTTCTGGAGTGCTGTGTCCAATTCTGCTCACCCAGTTATAGGAATGATATTATTAAGCTGGAGAGGTTTCGGAAGAGATTTACCAGGACGTTGATGGGTATGGAGGGTTTGAGTTATAAGGAGAGGCTGGATAGTCTGGGATTTTTTTCATTGGAGTGTAGGAGGTTGCGTGGTGACCTTATGAAGGTTTATAAAATCATGAAGGGTGTAGATAAGTGGAATGACAGGTGTCTTATCTCTATAGGGTGGGGGATTTCACAACTGGGGACATATTTTTAAAGTGAGAGGAGAAAGATTAAAAAAAGAAATGAGGGGCAAATCTTTTACACAGAGAGTGGTTCACATGTGGAATGAACTTTCTGAGGAAGTGGCGGATGTGGGCACAATTAAAATGTTTTAAAAGACATTTGGATAAGTACATGAATAGGAAAGTTCTGGACGGATATGAGCCAATCGCAGGCAGGTGGGACTAGTTTAGTTTGGGATTATGGTTGGCATGGACTGTTTGGACTGAAGGGTCTCCTTCCATGCTGTATGACTCTATAACTCAACTTCACAATAATAAGAAAGCTGACAGCAATTGATAAAGAAGCAATACCATTAGGATGCTTGGTTGGTGGGTTATCTTTGAGGTAGCTGTCCTGATAACTCTTGGTTCAAAATTAAAGGCTCCTGAGGCAGCTTGGTAGCAAGAATGAGGAGGGGAAATGTACACTAAATGGCTAAGTTACACAGGAAGTGGAGGAACAGGACACATACATACTCACATCCTAGCAGGGAGAATGCAGAAGGTTGTGAAAAATAAAGAGATCATTGGCTTTATGATTACAAGCAGAGAGTACAAAAGGAAGGATGTTATGCAAAGCATTTATGAAAAAAACTGGATAGGTGATGTGCATCCAATCCTGAAGGCCCAATTTAACGTTGTCAAGGCAACAGCGATCTATGGAATAATACCTGGTTCGCATCATGTGAGGTATGTGGAGAGACTGGAGAAATTAGGATAGCGGTTTTTACAGCTGGGAAGGTTAAAGGATGATTTATTGGCAGTCTTCACACTCTCACTGTGTTCTGATAGAGCCAGTAAAGAGAAATTGTGGAGATGGGTCAGCAACCAGAGGACAGTGATTTAAGGCAATTGGCCAGAGGAGGAGAGGCGAGAGCAACGTTTTTACAAAGTGAGCTGTTGTGATTTTGAATACCCTGCTGAAAGATTGTTGGATCCAGAGATGAAAGG